TCCACTCTGCTGTTGATGAACTCCTCTGATGAAGTTTTCAGGTCAAGTGTTATACTCTTAACTTTGTGTTTTCCGGTTCGGCACTTTAAAATATTTTCTGTTACTTTGTTCTCCTGACCTTGGTAGGCATATTAATGGCTATTACTTTGAACTCTTTATGAGGTGTTTGCTTTCTAGACATTAGATAAAACAGCCACCTCTCCCAGTCATGATAGAATGGTCTCAGGTAGGAAATAAACTTTTTGAATTAGCCCAACCTGAGCTCCTACTTGTATCTCAAACCTCTGAGATTGTCCAAGCAACTTTCTTTATCTTTAGTGGCTCATAGTATTAGGGGGTGTGCCAAAACTCATTAGTGTCCCAAAGGGGAGAATCACAGACAGCAGAGATGCAGGCTGATTATGAGCTGAACAGTAGGTAGCAGTTGGGAAATTTAGTAGTTAAGCCCCTTCTAGGGAAACACCAGATGGCTGTTTTTTGCTTGCTAAATCCAGGATATAGTTGGGGCGCGGCGTGGGGTGGGGTAGGGAAGTGCGCCCTGTGTGCATTAAAAACCGGTTCTTTATTTGCTAGCCCTGTGTATTTGTGAACACAGACTGCCTCTCAGAGCAGGCAATATGGAGACCTATCCCTTGGGCAATAGCTGTGATAGCTGAGACTCAGCCATTTGTACAAATCCCTTCCAGGGAAATGCTAGTGATTTATTTTTATTGTTGGAGCAGGCTGGAGGGAGAAGGCAGAGACGGTGTCTGCCAACTTCCCTGTCTCTAGAGAGGATCACAGCCAGTCTCTAAATATGTGCTAAAACTAGAAGCCTCACCCTCAGGTGTCAGCTTTTGAAGTATGCAGTTAAACCCCTTTCAGGGAAAAAATGGAGAGATGGGCGTTTTTGCCTGCTCCCTCTGTGCTAAGCCCTGGGGGACTAGCTAGTTAAAAATTGCTTCTTTGCCACAGTCCTGTGGGACTCATGAATGCAAGGCCCCATTGGCTATCAGAGTCAAGTGATCCAAGGATTCATCCCTTTGGATGGAAGCTATAAACTTCGGGCACAAACATGTTACAACCTCCTTCCAGGGAGATACCAGCAACTTCCCAATGGCTTCCCTGGTCTCCAGGGAGGATCATAGCCCTCAGATACTTGCTAAATTAAAATCCTGGTCATAAAAAAAAAAAAAATCCTGGCCCTCAGGCATTGTCTTTTAACACTGCAGAAAAATAGATAGGTGATTTTGCCCTTTTGCTCTCCACTAAGGGCATAGCCATCGTGACTGCTCATGCACTTGTAAGAACAGCTTATTTACTATATCCTTATGGTTTTCATAAACACAAGCCCTGCTGGCTTTCAGAGCCAGGTGCTTAGGGGACCCATCCCTCAGGTGAGAGTCTTAAAAGTCGAGATGTTAGATGTGGGTCATGAACCCTTTGCTCCTCAGGAAGAAGTTGGGAGTTCCCTCTTGATTACACGGTGCTGTGTCAGGGGTGGGATTTATGGCAAGTGTGTCCAGCCCTCACCACCCATCTCGATACGGGTATTCTCTCATTTCCCCAATGCGGAGGAGGCCCTCAGCTACTTTCTGGATCTTCCAGAGGGAGCTGCTCCATGTGCAGATGAACACTCAATGTGTCCGTGGGAGGAGGAGAGCTCCTATTACATCTTAGCACACCCTCTCTCATTTTCAATTATTTTAGGTGTTTCTTCTGTTAATTAAATCCATTATGTCTAGATTATTTCTCCAAATGGTCAAATATTCGAGGCACCTATTTGATACATCTGTTTGTTCATGGCAACATCTCCTGGGACCCCTCACCATCATCTTTGTCTCTCTCCTATGTTGAGGATAATTCCTATATCCATGGCTTCCGTCTATTCCCTTGCCTCCTGGCATTTCTTGAGAAACACAATTTCAAGAGAACTTATAGAAGACATTTTTGGGTCTGATGTGTCTGAAAATGTCCGTGTTTTACTCTGATACTGTTTAGCTAAACATAGATTGTAGGATAACATGAACCCTTGAAAAGTATTGTTCCATTGCTTTTTTAACTTCTGGAGTTGCTGTCACATGTCATTCTGATTCTGGATTCTTTGAATGTGACCAATTTTCTTTTCAGAAACATTTAAAATCTAGTCTTTATCCTAGTACTCTAAAATTTTGCAATTTCTATGCATTAGTCTTTTTCTTTTTTTCTTATTGCTTGGCAAGTATTAGGCCTTTTAAACCTAGAAACCCATGTCTTTCAGTTCTGGGAAATTTCTTAAAACCTTGTAGGGTAATTTCCTACCTTCCTTTTCCCCGCCTCTCTCTTCTAGAATCTACTAGTTTTGTATTCCCTGAAATAATCTGCTCGTTCCCATATTTTCTCACATTTTTCATCTTTTTTCCCTAATATTTGTGTTTCTTATCTTCCAAATATTCTATTTGAAATTTTATTCTGTACTTTTTATTTCAAATAACTTTCTTCTCCATGCATTTTTGCATAGCTAAAATGCTATGCTTATTTCCTATGTGCAATCAATATTTTCTCTAAGACATTACTTTTTAAAAAATTTTTTATTGAAGGATAATTGCTTTATAGAATTCTGTTTTCTGTCAAACCTCAACGTGAATCAGCCATAGGTATACATATGTCCCCTCCCTTTTGAACCTCCCTCCCATCTCCAGCCCCATCCCACCCCTCTAGGTTGATACAGAGCCCCTGTGTGAGTTTCCTGAGCCACACAGCAAATCCCCCTTCGCTATCTATTTTACACATGGTAATGTAAGTCTCCATGTTACTCTTTCCACACATCTCACCCTCTCCCCATGTCCATAAGTCTATTCTCTCTGTAAGACATTACTCTTATACCTACAGTGTCATAAATCTTATGACAACATGTGCTTCTTGGGAAAACTTTTGCCTTTTAAAATACACTGTTTTTATATTTGTTTAATCAGCCAAAAACATGTGCCTTTTAGTTCCCATGCTAGCTATTAAACTCAGTTTAAAATGATTTCTTCAAAACTTGTCAAGTATCATAAAATGGTGGTCAAAACCCCCCCAAAAGTAGCTTATCAATATGTGTGGCCATACTACAAATATGGCTGAAGTGTAAATAACTGTGAAATAAAAGGCACTGAAATAATTCCATCAGACTTGGCCAAAGCAGAGATTTGTGGCAACGGCCTACAGTGTGGAATGCACTGCCCACTTGAATCAAAGTCTAGATGCTTGTGGTTTCTTTTTCCCACTTTCAGTTCTCCCTAGTGTGATGATTTTTTTCTTTTTTTAATAAATTCATGAGGCCTCTGAGCTAGAATTTAATCTGTGGAAAATATTCTATGCCAAAGCACCTGATGTATGTGCAATTTATTTAAGTGAGTGAGATGGGTGGCTTTATATCAGCAGTCGCTTTATGCAAAGGATAATGGCACTTTCTGCCAGCTGATTAGTTTACAAAAATTCTTTCATGTGCAGTCTCTCACTGTAAAAACTCTGCATATTTTAATCCCTGTATCACAAAGTTTGGAAGTTTAGAAAAGCAAAGACAATAAGAGTATAATGGTTAAGAGCCTGATTGTTCTTAACTGATAAATAGGGTTAATACTTATTTCTTGGGGTTTGTGTGTATTGTATTACGTTTTATATGTAGTGTACTTTTTGAGTACATAGGAAGCACTCAGAGTGGTTGACATTGTAATACTAGAATCTGTCTTCCTTATAGATTGCATCAGTGTTTTAATACAATGCTTCAGTAGCCAAAAATCTGACTCCTTGAGCCCCAGGAAGTTTTCCTGTTACTGCTTACTTGGTAATCCTCTGTACCAAACTGACGGCTGTCATCCTTCTGTTTTTCACTTTTTTAATACATTTTTTTTGTGTTCTGCACTTAGTCAATTATAAACTTTTCAAAAAGGGGAATTATCTCCCAAAGTCTTTCAAAATTTTGAAACTCACAATTCCCAGCTGACTCAAGCTGGTTTTACATTTGAAACTACTTTCCTACCAAGTCTGCTACTAAAAGGAACTCTTAGTTTCAGAAAAACAGCAAATAGCTTTACTGTTTGAATTTAAAAGGATTTGCTCTGCTTGAGTATTCTATGGGTGAAATTTGTCAAATATTGCCTAGCAATTTAGTGCATAATTCTTAAGGACAGAAATCAAACTTTTAACTATTCAGGATATGGGCTTATTTTGTCTTTTGTTTTTTAACATAAAGGGTTAAGGACCTGGCCCATATGAATCTGGTTTATAGAGGGAGAGGGGGGTGTCTTTATGCCTGTGTTTATCCTGAGGTGACATTACCTTGCCATTACTCAGGATATGTCGTGACTTCGTATGATCCACATAAGATGCAAATTCCAGGTGATATAATCACAACTTCCTGCAACATAGTATTTTCATATGCATCTGTTCCCATAGTTTATATAGTTCTCATATGTCAGTGGCCACAGGATTCACCTCAGAAGCTTACTATAAATACCTCTCTGGAAGCCCTCAAAAATGGATTCAGTAGCTACAATGGAGCAAAAAAATCTGCATTTTAAATAAACTTTCTCACTACAACTCTAACATGTTATTCTCACATAGGTAGTTCAAACCCCATGGTGAGGGACACTGATTAAGTCTAAGGCAACAACCGAAGTTGGGACTTTTGCAATTCTTTGCTCCAGGAAGTAGCTAATCGTTTGAAGAAAACTGAGACTCCTAATTACTGGAATTAGCCTGGGTCTGCCGAATACTGCTTTCCTGCATGTTTATTAACAACCTGCTCAGCCATCTCTACTCTGTTAATTTGGAGATTTTGAAAGAGAACAGTCTTTTTTTTATTAACCCCTTTCTTTTAGAAAACAGACAAGCTGTTTTAACAGTAAAGAAATTTTTCTTTTCCTGAAGCTGCTTCTAGAACCTAAGTCCATTCAACATCACGATGATTTCAAAACAGAATTGGGAGGAACGTTAAGTATGACCAGATGTTGTTTCCTACTTCTGAAGAATGTTGTTCTCTTTTTCTCCCCCTTCAGCTATGAATTCCAGGTGAAACCCAAAAACCCACTTGGTGAAGGGCCACCCAGCAACACAGTGGCATTCAGTACTGAATCAGGTAATTACATCAGCTGGAATTCCCAACAAGGAGATAAAGGGTCAGAGTGTTTGCATAGCTTGTCTGAAACAAGCTAAATGAGGTAAAGCATTTCTTGATTTCAAAAACCCATCTATTTGAAAAATCAAGCCAATGAAGGTACCTTTTAAAGAAGCAACACCTGGGTTTTTTCTCATTTATTTTCATGTCAGAAAAATGGTAGGCTTATCAGTGTAAAAGAGAGGAAGTATGAGGTCAGGCTATACTCAACAGTGAATGAATGCTCCTCTCTATGCCTAGAATCAGAATGTCAGACTTAGAAAGCCAGTTGTATCCAGAAAGGGAATTCATGTGATAGCTTTTTATGATGAACAGCTGTGAAATTTTCTGATCTGGCCTAAGTTCCAGTTCCTTAACGAGATACATCTGCACAACTGCAGTTCATGGCATCCTGGTGATTTTGTCAATATTTTTATGAAGCTAAAAAGAGGAAGATTTGAAAATGGAAGTAAAATCTAGTACAGCAAAAAAGACCCCTAACTACTTAAATGACATATAAAAGACATAGCTGAGTTTCTCCAGTGTAGAACCATCCCCAAAACAAAGCTCACAATTTTCAAGTTTGGACTTTAGTTAAGAGTGTATGTTGTCCAAGACTCTGTAACATCTGTTAACCCCCATCTTCTTTGCCACGTCACTGGAATACTGGGACTTGCCTAATGAACTGTCTGCTGTTTCTCCTCAGCTGACCCAAGAGTGAGCGAGCCAGTTTCGGGTAAGTACCTACCTCAGTGAGGACATAACTGCACGCTTTTCTACAGTGATTCAGCTACATGGGCATGGCAGAATTTTAGTCATGATTTCACTTTAGTCCATTTAGTCATCTTCTTCAACTACCTGTGAATGCTTACCTAAAATGTTCAGAAACACTTACAGCCTATGGTGTTTCAGGAACAAGTTGAGGATTCGGAAACCTGCTTTTTATTCATGTAACAGACCAGCTCAAATCTTCTAAGATATAGCACCCTCATTTCCACTTTTCGTGACTTTATTTTCACTGCTGTTATATTCCACTGTGTAGGGTTAGGGTTATTCATTCTTTTTTTTTCTTTATTTTTTTATTGAAGGATAATTGCCTTACAGAATTTTGTTGTTTTCTGTCAAACTCATCTCCACTTTTAATAACAAGTCATATTAAAGCAACTGTTTACACTGAAACAGTTTCTCTCAGAAAAAGAAACCTAATTTTGTTCCTGAAGTGATGCTATGTTGAGCATAGCATAACTATGCAGAACTAATCAATATTGACACATACTGCCCCAAGATTCACCTCACTACTGACAGAAAATTAATGGGGAGCTTACGTGTTTAAACACCTGTATTTTTTCGCTCCAATATTTAGCACTGGAGAAAACCATGTATCAGCAGGTCGACAATGAACTTTGCAAGCTGCTTTTTAAAAAGCTTTTGAGATAGCTCTTCGGGACCCAAAGTGAGACACTAAGCCCAAACCATGCGCTTCTTTACGCAGCGGGAAGAGACGCCATATGGACTGAGAGGCCCTTCGCCTCGGACTCCTACTCGGAGTGCACGGGCAAACAGTACGTCAAAAGGACCTGGTACAAGAAGTTCGTGGGCGTGCAGCTGTGTAACTCCCTCAGATACAAGATTTACCTCAGCGACTCCCTCACAGGTAAGCGCCGGGGACGCCCGCAGCACCCCGCCACTCAGGGCTTTCCCACGGCGCCGCCAGACACGGCAGAGCTACGGCTTGAGCAAGGTGTTACTGGAATCTTGGGATCGGAGAAATGCGGCAAGAAGGTAAACAATGAAAACGCAATTTCAAACAGTGCCATCATGGCAACTGCAGAGAAGCCAGTCACATCCAAGCTCAATTATGTTACAGCCAACCCAGAATGGAAAGCTTACTGGTAGTAAAATGAGTGTATCTAACAATAATCATGGAAGGAGTATGACCTATTTAATAAGATGTTAAGTCTGTCAGAGACAAGAGCAAGGTTAAGACAATCAGCCAGAAAGGATATAACCCCTTGCTCCAGACTCAGTGGGTTCTTTTCTCTTCTATATTCATACAGTAAAAATTTTAAACCCCAACATAGAAAGGTAGACATCTGTTCCATCATTTAACAAATAGTATCTGTTTTGTTCTGACGCTGCTGGGGACAACGCAGGACTGTCCTGCCCCCCTTTTGTAAGTCTGTGCATCCCTTAGCTACATATAACACATGACTTTTACAGTCATTTTCTTGGCTCTCCCAGCCATTTGTTCCTGCTCTTTGAAGCTTACAATCTAGTGGGGAGAGACAGAAAACAAATATGTAGAATTTCATATAGTACTTTGAAGGAAAAAAGAGGGATGAAAAGAAAATGGTGGAATGGAATGAAAGCTCCTTTAGTTAAAATGTTTAGGAAAAGCTTTCCTCAAAGCGAACACTTGTGCTGAGAAGAAAACTGAGGAGGAACCGAGACAGACCAAGGGATAAAGCAGCAGCGGCAGAGCAGACACCTGAAGGCCTGGCGCAGAAACCCCTCTCCGGCTTGCTAGCATGGCCGAGGCTTAGTACGGGGAAGCTCAGGCAGGCGTGCAGTCACGGGGAGCTGGGAAACCGGGCAAGGACTCTGGGCTTTATTCTGAGTGTAACAGAAGACTGCTGGAGAGATTGATGGAGGCAAGGAACATTATCTGAGTTGCATAGTTAAAAGATGACTAATCTGTGAGAGGAGGAGAGGAAGAGCAGGGAAAGGCAAGAGTGAAGGCAGGGATGCAGCTGGGAGATTCTGTCGTCCCATTAGAGAACAGCGTGACTTGGAGTAGAATGAACAGGTGGGGAAGTACAAGAACATGGAAGACGGATCATTTGAAACAGTGTATTTCAGAGTTCTCCCAGATCAAAGAAATACTTCATGATCCTTTTAATTTCCAGGAAAATTTTATAACATAGGCGATCAGAGAGGCCATGGAGAAGATCACTGCCAGTTCGTGGACTCATTTTTAGATGGACGCACAGGACAGCAACTCTCTTCTGACCAGTTACCCACCAAAGAAGGTAGGTTTTCGGAGCTTGCTCAAAAGCAAGAGGCTTTTTACAAATGAACCCAAAAAACATTCAGGCTGAGCAAAAAGTTAAAGTGTCAGCTGCTCAGTCGTGTCTGACCTTTGCAACCCCACCAAGCTCCTCTGCCCATGGGATTCTCCAGGCAAGAATACTAGAGTGGGTTGTCATTTCCTCCAGGGGATCGTCTGGACCCAGACATCAAACCCAGATCTCCTGTCTAAGCCATCAGGGAAGCCGTCAGGCAATCACTTTAAAAATCATCTGTAGTCTTCCTACTCTCCCTGCCAACGAAAAAGACTGTTCACATTAGACCTCAACGTGAAGACTTTAATAGAGTGTCTCAACTTTCGTCCCATTCCTTAAGACTCTGTTGCTTAGAGCCAATACATACACATACATTCTACTTTAAGAAAACCTGAATTTGCAAAAGCAGCTATTGAAAGAAACTTTAAGCATTTCCCAAACTTAAATCATTCATGTACTACCTTTATAATTTGTCATACTCAGCACACAGGCAGGTTTTAATTCCTTCCTAAAAAAAATTAAAGCTTTACTACTTGCATGGAGAAGGACATGGCAACCCGCTCCAGTATTCCTGCCTGGAGAATCCCATGGACAGAGGAATCTGGAGGGTTTCAGTCCATGGGGTTGCAAAGAGTCGGACACAACTGAGCAACTCACACTTTCATTTTCCTACTATCATAGAAGGAAAAATGTTATTTGCCTTATAATTATACAAATACACAATTAAAATAGAACAATTCTGCTGAGAAGTGACTAACCCCTGCAACTTTCTAAAGACACTTTAGCACCAAGCTGTGTAATGAGGACTGAAAAGATTGAAAATCAATCCCTGTCCAGGTAGGGTAGGAGAGGCGTAAATTATAAACCCATTATTACTCAGGAGCTACCAAGAGAGACTTGTTAAATACTTAAAATCATTTGATTGGTCTTTTTAGCCAATGGCATAGTCTTTTTGGTCAATGGCATTAAAAATAGCAACCATAGTAAAAGATGACTGAATAAGATCTGTGAACTCATTAACAGAAAATTGAAACTATAGCCACACAGGAACTAGATAGAAAATATAAGTTCTATTTTCATAACATTTTACATTCTCAGCAAAACTTTAAGTCATTTAGTGTAGGGTCCTTGAAGGATGATTTCACCCACGTTTAATTCTTGGACATTTAGCAACCTTACAGCTACCCCGCTTTTGTTTCCTGACATTTTAGCACAACACACCTCTACCCAGGTCACCGCCTCAGACCACCTCCAGGCTATCATGTGCAGAACGTACACTTTCACGTCCGACAGTGTGTACTGAACTTGGTCAGTGACGCTCCAACAAACATAAAACCCTTCCAACTCCTGACCCTTTTTCGTTTCGGCTCTCTCTCTCAAGTATCAATAGTATCAACCCGTCCTAAGCGTCCCCGTGTTTAGCCCGCCATTGCCACCTCAGGAAAGACACTGGGGCCTCTGTTGCTATCCACTGTCTAAACACTCTGCTTCACTGCAGTCCCCTTCAAGCATTCGATGGCACCCTGCAATCTGTGAGGACAAAAATATAACACAGCAGCTATTAATTTTAACTATTTCCCTCTTAGGCTATTTCAGAGCAGTTCGTCAGGAACCAGTCCAATTTGGAGAAATCGGTGGTCACACTCAAATCAATTATGTCCAGTGGTATGAATGTGGGACCACAATTCCCGGAAAATGGTAGATGCTGCAGTCACATTCAAAAGTGCTTCCTGTTTCACCATTTCAAAAAATAATTGGAAACAGTATGGTATTTGTCACATGCATTTAAAGCTCTTTTGTTTACTATGTATAAAAGTCTAAAATCTAATAGCAATATTAGATGTTTATTAGAAAGATTGCTAAGAATATTTATCAGGTTTTACAAAGTCATTTTAAGAAAGCAAGATATTGATATTAACAGAATAACATTTTTGGGGAAGCTGGCTCCCTGTTCATGGTATTTTAAGAGATCATTTGTATATTATTTATCACACTGTTGTAATGATGTTCTGAGATACTTTTATAACAAAATTAACAGCAAAAAACTAATATACTTTAAAAAAATTTACATTTATTGTGTATTCTTCCTACTGTTAATTCCATAAATCTCTACTTGGCTTAACTTATTAGATCAAATTATCATCAGCATATTATATCTGGGGAGAAAAGGTCCTAATATTCACATGTTTATTTAAACTGCAACCTGTTAGCAATAGCTGAGTAACTTTTGAAGCATTTAAACAGTTAGCCATTTGTGCTAATATACATTTCATTAATTATCTACAAATGATTGAAAAGGCTGTTTGAATCAGTAAATTTCAGTTGAAAATGGAATTGAGAATTTGATATATCAATGTCCGAATGCTCTTTGTCAAACTATCCCTTTAAGCAGTTGTGTCGGTGCTGTTTTTAATTCTAATAAAGCTGTGTCCGAAGACTGCACTGAAGTCTAAGCATGAAAGGATAAGCCGTGATGAGAGGCCTACCGTTTTATGATATTTACTGTATTTTTACACAGACGATCTCTAGGGAATGAATGTATCAGAGGCTGTTTTCTTAATTCTAACCACCTGTAATGCAAATCCGACTTATTTTTCTTTCAAACAGTATTTCCTCCTCCACTGGGGAGGAGACAGGAACGCCGCATTGGTGCCCTCATTCTTAAAGGACCTTTCTGCGCTTACCTTTCAACAGGCTTCAGTTTTATCAATACTTCATTTTATATTTTTCAAACAGTATAAACTGCAATAAAGAGATGTAGTTTTTTTTAAGACTGAGTTCTTCATTTCTGAATGGTTGGTTTCTATAAGGAAAATCGCAGGTTGTTTAGGATCTACCAACCCCCTTGCATCTTTTAATATTGTATCTACTGTGTTTATATATAATGCTAATAATCATCTTGATCTATTTTAAAGTTTCGTCATTTGAAACCAAAATCAGGACAGAAGGCAACAGCATTGTGCATCTCTGAATAGAAAGGCCTAAGATAGATAAAATGTATTTCAAGACCAAAACATCAATAAGGATTTTTCTCATATATATACACATATATAGAATATCAAAGACTAAATTAACTTACAAGACCATTAATGGATTCAATCATCTTTATTAACCTATCAATGTTACATTTTATACATAATAGCTAGTCTTCTCAAAGGAATCTACTTTAGTACATCGTGTTAATAATAAAAAGCCAAGTAAGAGGGCTGAACTTCAACCTAACATTGTAATATCCTCTGGACAAGGCAAGCTAGAAAATCAATCACTTTGCACACATGTAAGAGTAGTGTTCCAAAATAAGTAGGAAGCTGCTATACTTTTAAGCAGGGGAGGGGAAAAAACTTCCATTTTGGTCTTTTATCTTCCAGCAAATTATACTTTCAATTAACAGCAATAATGGTATCATAAAAAAATGCTCTGCTTTTTAAATTCCTGAACTTCAATACAAATTAGAATAGTAGTATTGGAGTCTTTTGGGAGGCAAACAGCTAGCAGCCACGCTCATCAGTGTAACTGAGCCTCTCTATCGATAACCTGGTCCAGGCTGGGTGTAGCCCTGGCCGAAGGGAGGACGGCTACGTGCATATGGGTTAGACCCACTTGGAAGAGGGGTCATGGTACTTCCAGGAGGTGGGGTGAAACCTGGTCTTGGCTGGTAGGCCCCGGGCTGGCTTGGAGCCATTCCCGGTTGTGAGGCAGGGGCCACAGTGTAACTAGTGGGCTGAGACGTTTGGGTAGTGTAAGTTTGTGGAGGGTAACTGCTCGCCTGGTACTGCTGCGGAGGTTGAGCAGGCAGTTGCTGAGGCTGACCAGAAAAGGCAGGTGCCGGCGCCTGGGAAGTGGGTTGCTGGCCATATCCTGGGAACTGCTGAGGTTGTTGGGGTCCAGTCTGCTGACTATAGCCTGCTGAAAAGGCAAAACATACACCTCTTTCTTTTGGTGAACATTTTCCAGAGAATTAGTCTTACTGTTATGGACAAAAAAAAATAAATGAGAAATTTAACAAACTTAATCCTAAGTATTTAGGTAGCAAGTAGAGTAGTGGATTTTATATTTCAAGACCATATAGTAACAAAGAAGAATTTTCTAGACAGTTTTGTAAACCCTCTAAAATGAAAACCACTATATATACAGATCTCTTCTACTTCAACTCCTTCTAGACTGTATAATCCCTGAGAGTAAACTCCTGTTCTAGCATAACTCCCAGTAGAGAGTATATGCTCAAATGACAAACGTGGGAATTAACGCAAAAGCTAGTCATTAACCTGGTTTTGAGGGGCCTGTTTAATAACAGTACCAAATAAACACATTGTAGAGAATGGACGTTTTTAAATGAAACAATGCTGCTAACAAATACAACTATGTTAGTGAGATGCTTTTTAGGCTTATTCATCCTATAGAAATTAAAACATTTAAGAATAAACATTAAGTGCCCATTTTCACAATCCTTAAAATCTTTTAGATTTGGTATCATGGTTTTACCTTTCAATAGCAGTAACAACATAACAGAAAGCATATCATACTGCCCCACAAAAATGAACATCTATATTCATTAGTTACTAGGATGTAAAGCTTTTTTAAAAGAAAAGGTCTGCTTCACTAAAAACTTTTATCTCTACCATGAAACACACCTGCAGCTACTTGCAATGAAACCTCTCCATTGACTGGAATCCTGTCAGCATTAAATACCAGATACATAAGAAAATTATTAAAATATGTACAACCCTGCATTAAAAAATAAATAAATAAATAAAAAGGATTGAATGAACTGAGTATATTCTGAACTCACCTTGAACCTGGGTTCAAAATTTACTCATGAAAGAAAGCTTTTGACATAGTCCATGAATAAAACTGGAAAAGGTCACAGAGGAAAACTGCCAAACCAGCAGAGTGCCAAAGATGGTCCAATGTTACCACCACCACTAACAGTCTCCAAGCAGAGTATTTAGGTGACTATTTCCATATCTCCCAATTTCAAGTTAATAGGACTAGCAGGATCAGAAATACAAAGATAATACTTTGAAAAGAACTGAACTTTACTCATTGAAGATCCTAACTAAAATCATTAACAGCAAGCTTAATTTTTAACAAGTAAATAAAATACCTAATGCATTTTATTCATGGCAGTACCTAAATACCAAACTAAATTCATGAAAAAACCTTGATGTCATACAATTTCTCCTATCCTCTACATAAAAACATAAAAAATTTTTTTACTCTAAGGTTTTGAAGAAACAAAGTTTTATACTGAAAATGTCTATTCAATTTAAGATTGTGAGAAAAAAAAAAGCTGTGTTTACATCCTGCCAATTGATATCTAAACTGGCTTTTCAACAGGCTGTGGGGACAACTAAATCTTTATTTTCTGAGAGAGAGGATGATGCCTAAGAAGCCTAAGTTGCTGTTTCATTAGCGATCTACTGCCTTTGACCATAATATAAAATACCTCTGTATATATAAACCCTTCCTTCCACCACCATCCCCTCCCTAGAAAAACAAAATAACTGGTGAAAATCACCATAAGCGGCAAGAAATGGAAATTCTGTGGTTGTCTGAATAAAGTAAAATTAAAGGACAAAAAGTCACGTGGTCCACGAAGCCTAAAATATTCACCATCTCGTTTCTTACGGCAGAAAAGTCTGCCAAGCTCTGGCTGGGGCTGAGAGAGCGCAGAATGATGCAGGGGAGTCACTAACTGCAAAGTCAAGTGTACCGGGCTCTGGTCCAACTCCCCAACCGAACGGCTGCTTGTCCTTCAATGCATCACGACTCTTTGGACCCTAGTTGCCTCATTTACAAAATGAGTGGATAAGACAAGATCAGTGGCTCCCAATTCTCACTACACTTTAGAATGACCTGCAAAGCATTTAAGATACCAATGCCTGAACCCCACCCTTGACCAAATAAAACAAGATCTCTGGGAGTAGAGCTCAGGTACCTGTAAGTTTCAAGAAACACCTCTCCAGGTGATTCTGAAGCATAGTGAAGATGGAAATTGCCAGGATTAGACAACAGAGTGAAAAAACTTATTATTTCTACAAATTGCCAATATATAATTTTTAATAGATTTTCTCTAAAAGACTGCATTCTGAAAATAACCTTCCCCCAATATTATAGTCCAAGTTTAAATTCATTCCACCTAGTTTACATAAAAACTAGCAGCTACAGGTTAAGTCACTCTATAGCAAATCCAATCCAAATAAAAATCGCTCTTTGTGTTAAAATATGTCAAACTATAATGGTAGAATTTTATGGTCTAATTCAGGGAGTCAGCAAATGTTTTTCTGTAAAGGACCAGATAATAAATATTCTAGGCTTTGGGAACCACAGGGTCTCTGAAACTTTTAACTAAAAGCGGTGGCGTTTTCATAATAAGTTTCAAGTAGTTTAGAAAAATAAAAAATAACAGAGTGATGTACTTGCTTCAAGCATAGTTGTGCCCTGTCATTCTCTATTGAGGAACATGGTTTTAGACTTTTTTGAGTGGGAGTTCCTTTGGCTCACTGACAAAGTCTACTATGTGGAGCTTTAATCTCAGACTTTTCAATGATACCTAAGTTAATATTTATATTAAATGAGAACGTGTACACAACTCCTTTTAAACTAATGCTCTAGAGTTATGCCTGGCTTCCAATGATGGTTCCTACTAGCTGTGATGTACTGACCCAAGGTAAGTTGCTTAATCTTTCTGTACCTGAAATAGGGACTGATAATGAGGCTAACTTCCCCCCATGTATTTATTGTGTTCATAGCTCATTTTTGTATTGTAATCTAATTTTTTAAAATTACAGTTGAAATTCTGATACTTAAATATTTTACTATAAAACAAGATTGAACATAAGTTCTCATATAACAAAAGTAAAAATTACCCAAATTATAATTATTTGAATTATAATATTCCAAGCTATACTGAGAGATTTTTATGTTCTTAGTTGTCTGAATTACATTTCACACAATTCTACTTTCATGGACTGCTTTTAGTATTCCTACATACTTCTAGGAGATTTAAAAACCTATGCAGCTTAATTTCGCTCTTATTTATTATTTAATAAGATCACCTCTTTTTACATACGAGGGAACTGTTAAAAAGTGTTTTTCCAGGTACTGGAGTACACTGGGATAATGTGTTACAAAAAAGAGGAAAAAACTGTGCCATTTTTGTAACTCTACATCACCAAGCAGGTAAGCTGATCACATGAGCAGGAGATAATTTTGCATTAAAAACTTTTTATACTACAGGTCATTACTGAATCATCTACTGTGACTGTGTTTTACCTGCCCACTGGAACTGAAATGGTGATTTACAGTTAAAATTTCTATGTAAAATATTTATAAATGAATGATACAAATGTTCTTCCCCCCCTAAAAAATAAATCCCTAATCCTTACTCTAACAAGCAAGGAAACAGGAGGATGGAATTTAGGGTTTCATGAACAGAGACACAGCTCCCCCGGGCACCCGCTCACCTGCATACTGAACGCCGTAGGGCTGCGGCGCCTGGGGGGGCGCCTGCGGCTGCTGAGCGCCGTAGGCCGGCTGCTGCGAGTACTGCTGGTAGATCTGGCCTGGGGAGGAGACGGCAGAGAGGCAGGGTTCACTCGGCAGAAGAGAGACCTCTGTAAGGCGCCTGTAATTCCCTCCCCATCCACACACACCAACCAAGACGCAGAACGTGTCTGCTCCTCCTTAACTGTCTATGAAGGAGAACAAGGAACAATTTAACAAGTGTGGCAACTCTGCTGTGGATGAACTGTGGAGAACTCTAACTGACATCAAATAACCAGTGGTTACTTCAGAAACCCCAGAAAAACAAAGGTTTTCAAACTCAACCGCCAAAAGATATGTACTACTAATGTTTGGTAAAAATCAATAAAGAAAAATGTGAAAAAAGGGACAAATACTATGATAGCTGCTGTGATTTCCAAACATGTAAGGATTTACTGGTTCACATCTTTATCCTCTCTACCATTTTACAGTTGTTCCAATGGTGGATTTAGCTAGATCTAATGCCTTGAGCAGCAATAAAACTTGCTGTAATATCTAACTAGCACTTAAATTTTTTAAAAACCTCACTAGTATTTAAATCTTTAAAACAACTTTATGTTGCTGATACTAATATTCAAATTACCTGCTGTTAATCAAAAGACTACAGGTAAATAGTATACTTTCAGCAGAAAAAGACAGCGACTAAAAGTCAATGCATTATCCAGTGCCATTCACACTGAGGCGCAGGAAATAGCTAGTTCTCACAGGCTGAAATCTCCAGATGGAACCCACTTTCCTGGACTGGGTGTCCAGTCTTATGTACTGCTGCACTAAATACGTTATGCCCCTGTTGACAGCTGGCTTATTTCCTAGCAAGCAGTGCTATGCTTTCATGACAGGAATAAAAGTGAAAGAGCAGTGTATATACTGATATACATGCATCACCACGAGTAACGCTGCTAGCGGGAAGCTGTGGCAGAACACGGGGAGCCCAGGTCAGTGCTCTGATGACCTGGAGGCCAGGATGAGCGGGGGCGGGGGGGGGGTACACATATGCTTATAGCTGATTTACACAGTCCTACAACAGAAACTAACACAGCACTGTAAAGCAATTCTCCTCCAAATAAAAGTTTTTCAGAAAAAGAAAAATTTGCTTATTTTTAAGCTATTAATGCTCTTCCCAAATACAGAAACCGACAAGAAGTTTGTTAAACATTTTAACACTTCAACACTTCAAGATTTATAGACTACATAAAAAATACCACAGGCGTTAACCACCTTTTAGAAGATACTGCCTTAATCCTAGATTGTATCTTAAAACTAAATTTTTGAACAGAAGTGACAAGGATCTGATACAGAAATATGATAAAGGCGGGGAAATACATGTAGCATTTGACAATGGGTTCTAATTCTTAGAAAATAGAAGGATTAACTCTACAATACAAAAATGAGCAAAGATCATGCAATGACTATATGAAGGGGAAAAAGTCAACCTCATTAGCAGTCCCTATTTCAGGTACAAAAAAAATAAGCAACTTACCAGGGGTCTATGCATCATAGCTAGTAAGAACCATCACCAAAACCCAGGCATAAGTCTAGATTGTTATTTAAGGAGTTTTATACATGTTATCTCATTTAATACAAACATTAACTTAGGTATCATCAAAAAGTCTGAGATTAAAGCTCCATGTAGTAGACTGCTGCTAAGGAGCCCAAGAAACTCCCAACTCAAAATTTTAAGTCAAACTGTTTTCCTCAATGAAAAATGACAGGTACTACAACTCTTCCTGAAGCCAGTGCCCCATTTTTTTCTTCATTTTGTGAAGAATGCCACCCCTGGGATTAAACACTATCTCAACAAAGTATTTCTCTTACTTATTTTAAACACACGTCCTTCAAGTCCAAAACGGGACTCTCATTCTCTGTCACAGTATTCTGAAAAGTAAGAATTCTGTGTTCAGTTGTAAATGAGGAGGAATAACTTGACCTAATTGAAGGAGAGCGCTACAGGGTATAGTAAGTGAAAAAGCAAGGTGCCAACAGAGTTCACAGTGAGCTATGACTTGAGGAAAAAAGAATATTAGTTTTTTTGCACTGTATCTTCAGAATCGATGGTAGAAAAAAGTAAAAGCAATAAGACATAATACCTAAGAGAAAGAGAATAGGCTGAAGCAGAGGGTACTGGGGAGGCTTCCGGGACTAGATCTGTGGCACGGACTCGGAGTTGGCCTCCGTGACGGCCCTCAGTGACCCCTGCGCAGGCAGAGCGTAAGGTAACGGGTCGGCACCCTCGTGTTTTTAGAAATGAGAAAGATTCTCCACAACACAAAAATTAGCAAACAACAAGCAATAAATACACGTGTATTCGTTCTCATGTGTAGTCCCCTCACACTGAATCGGGCTGACCTATATACCACTGGTACCTGGCATGCTGAAGTCCATGGGGTCACAAAGAGTCGGACATGACTGGGCAACAGAACAACATATGCCATTAGAATATAAAAAATGATGTAGACATTTCTGAGGACAAGTAGTGAAAGACAGCCATCTCCTTTTACTCTGTCTTGACCACTGGCTCTGGTGGAAGTTCCCATGTCATGAAGTCACCCAGGCAGCCCATGAGATCCATTTGGTGAGGAAATGGAAGTCTCTTGCCAACAACCGTATGAAGGAGTCTTCTTAAGATATGAATTCTTCAGTTCAAATTAAGCCTCAGATGACTGTAACCTCACAAGAAATCCTTAACCAAAACCTTCAAGCTAAGCTTCTCCCTGGACTGTGAAGAAAGCTGAGCACTGAAAAATTGACATTTTTGAACTGTGGCGTTAGAGAAGACTCTTAAGAGTCCCTTGGACTGCAAGGAGATCCAACCAGTCCATCCTAGAGGAGATCACTCCTGGGTGTTCACTGGAAGGACTGATGCTGAAGCTGAAACTCCAGTACTTTGGCCACCTCATGCGAAGAGTTGACTCACTGGAGAAGACCCTGATGCTGGGAGGGATTGGGGGCAGGAGGAGAAGGGGACAGAGCATGAGATGGCTGGATGGCATCACTGACTTGATGGACATGAGTTTGAGTAAACTCCGGGAGTTGGTGATGGACAGGGAGGCCTGGCGTGGTGCGATTCATGGGGTCGCAAAGAGTCGCACGTGACTGAGCGACTGAACTGAACTGAACTGAAGATTCTCCCAGATCCTTGATTCTGAAACTGTGAGATAATAATTTTTTGCCGTTTTAAGTAGCTATGTTTTAGCATGAACTGTTATACAGCATGTTCACATACATAGTTTTGACTTTAGAAACATGCAGGGTTGACAGCTATTTAAAAAAATAAAAGACTTAAGACACATAATTAAATGAAAAATTTAAATGAAATTCATTTAATTAAATGAAAAATGAACCTTGGGAGACCCCTAATTTGAAAAAGTCCCCACTACCATTCGTCCAACAGGACAAATCTAAAAGTACCCAGAATAATTAGGAATCTATTACAAAAGTGCCCCTTCATTTAAGGCTGTTCTGGAAGATTTATTTAACTTGACTGGTAAACTTAGTCACTTGCTTCTGGTGCTGAAATACATCCTGTCACACTACCTGATCCCTTTATACAGATAACAGCACCACCTGGTGACTTTTAAAGTAAAATATGGGGCTTTAAAAGGACTTACATGCAGAAGCAATTGAAAGAAAGACTATCTGAACATTTAGAAGGAACCCTAAATCAGTAAACCTGAGGACGTGTTCTGCAGTGCTCCAAGGGTTTCAATGAGGCCTGCTCTTCTGAGCTTGCAATCTCCTTCAACAACAGCAACGACCCCCTTACTTGTTTAACGACTGAGCTTTTTTTTTTTTTAACATTCTGTTTCATTTAGGACTAAAGACATTCTCTGAAAACCACTGATTCGGTCCACTTTTCACAATTTACAGTGTGGGAGAATATAAAAACCCGGAGAGATTAAACTGCTCATCTGAGGACATGAGATTTAGAGAGGAAGAAGTCTGATTTTAAAATATACTGCTTTTTCTATAAAAGACTTATTGCTAACTGCATAAAAATATAAAAGGCTATTTATATTTCAAAAAAAACCTAAAGTTATGCTTAACCTTTGCTTTTTAAGTCTTCTTAAATTACAAAAATAATACACAGTTGCAAGAGGGGAAGGGAAAAGGAAATAAAATAGAACCTAAAAATTATGCCTTATACTTTTTTAGGGTTTTTTTTTTCTTTCAATATTCAGAAGCATACCTGACATTGTTTATTCAGTTTTTTAACCTGAAAGCATACTATGTCAGTAGGTCAAAATACTGGCAATTGTGTTCACAGCATGAACGGACATGTAAGCTTTTCACCATCACCAAAAGCGTCCTAATAAACACTGCTGCACAGAGGCCTTCCCACTCATGTGCTCTAAGCTCTGTTTTACCTTCGCTCTGACCTGCTGGAGCCTGAGCTCCTGCATAGGGCGGCTGCTGCGGCTGAACTCCCGGTGGGTGAGCAGCGGAGGAGGAGGAAGCGATGCTGTCGGGCGTTCCTGACCGGTCTTCTGCAGGAGCACTGGGAGGCCCTGGGTGGTCATGAAAAGGCAGCTCAGTTTCCAACACAAGATCTGTCCCCAACAAGCTCAATCAGTAAGCTTGGTTAAGAGACCAAAAGTAAAGTGCCACAGAAGAAGCATAGCCCAAAGGCAGCCTTCTCCACTGATGTGTGTATATATACTTTTTTCCTTTGCTCTGATCTCACAAGAATCCAAAGCTATGACTGGAAATCCTTCCCTATAGAGTGCAGTGCTACATTCCTGAGTCTTAAACTCACCTCTGCACTACAAAATATCCACCTCTTTATACAATCTATTTGTAGATCAACCAAAAGTATCATTTCATCCTTCAGTGGGTCTCCACTGCCCCTAAATGAAGTTCAACCCTCTAGTTTGATCTTTACGGCTCCAAACAGTTCTCACAATTCCTTTTCTCAGAGGCTCCTCCTATTCATTCCCCCAAGTGATCATTAATTGCCATTCCCTCCACAGTTCCAGTTTTACATTATCTAAAACATTCCTTAAATAGTCCTCCACACTTCTAGTGAGCCTTCTTCACTCATAAATACTTTTCTCCACTTGTGAACTTCTATGGAGTATACTTCTATTGGGACTTTACCAACTTCCACTCTGCATTTCTAAACAGAAAAGTCTTCCCTCTTAGACTAGGAGTTCTTTTGGCCAGGCACCTTTCTGATTCTGTCTCACAAAGTCTACCTCTTAATATATACATGGAACCACTCAAAATTCTTTTAAAATAATGAACAAAGAAGTAAATGGAGAGAATCTGCTGTAGTTCTAATACTATAATGAGCAAAAAAGACATTCTGGAGACATGAATCTGCTTCTCTAAGTTCTTTTTGTTTGTGCAACACAGAACAGTATGGTTGGAAGCACTGGTTTGGGAGCCAGACTGCCTAGGTTCAAATCCCAATGCCGCCACTTAGCAGCTCTAAATCCAGGCTTGCTACCTGATCTCTTTCTGTGCCTCAGTTTCCTCATCTGTAACCAAAGCAATACTAATTCCTACCTCATAAGGTTACATAAGGGTTATGAGTTAGTAAGAGCTTATAGCAAGTGCTTATAAAAGTAATTTTATGGGGAGGGGCAAGAGGCATAGGTGAATTAAGAGGTCTAAACTACTATGTATACAATAAGTAAGCTATAAGAATATACTATACATCACAGAAAATATAGCCAATATTCTATAATAACTATAAATGAAACATAACCTTTAAAAATTATAAATCACTATGTTGAACATCTGAAATTTTATATAATATCGTAGCATCAGCTATACCTCAACAAAAATATATATTAAAAATAAACATTAAAACATTATTAAAATATGTTAAATATATGGTTAAATATATGGTTTTAAATATTAAATATATCAATATATCAATATTTTAAATGAAAATCTAAAAGTAATCTCAAAGTGATTATATAACAAGAACTTATAAAAGTGATTACCACCTAAAAAACTCTACGTAAGTGCTTGTTATCAGTAGCAGACTAATTTCCCTGAGGCCAAACCTCTCTCCTTTGCACTGGTCTATCCCCAACTTGCTGGCGCTGTGTCAGGCGTCCAGTTGGGAGCTGACAGGTGAGGTGCGCATGAGGACCGAGGCTAGGGTAGTGGCAGTGGCAATGCAAGAGAAACTGGTGAGCGCCAGAGTGAAATGCATGGTCACTCCTGGGCACCGCCATCTCACTGATATCTATCTACATGTAGACAGATACACACACATCCCTAAGAAGGGTAACACGGATAACAAAAAGACACTATGCTACTATTCTCAAAAACATTCCTTCAATTCCTCTTTTCCCTGCAGGTAAGCTATTAATGTTGCTTATCCTATCGTTAATGCTCTATCCCTCCTCCCCAAGTCTACATTCACTGCTGCTGCTGAGTTTTTCACATAACCCAAGTAACTACAAAGTATCCTGGCATTTTCTGTGTGTGCGGTTTTTCCTACTCAATTCAACATACAAAGCTACCAGAAAAATGGTCTTCAAATACAATATGAATCATCGTGATCATATTATTCTGGTCTATGCTATATTCTTAATTAAACTTTTAAGCCTAACCTCGTATATAACTATTTACTCCCTCTATTTGGCATATCTTGAAGTCTTATATGTTAAGAAGCTGTAATATTAACTTGTGCTTCAGTTAATTTACAAAAAGTTTCTGTTTTTCAGATAGACCACTTATCTGATGTCTTCTTTTGCCAACAACATACATGATATACAAGTATTTGTCTTTTCCAGAATGTTACACAATTCTCTTTGATAAATAACTCCATAAAAATCTCAAAGAAAAAGAAAATTAATAGAAAAATCCTATCTTTCCAGTTACTGATAATGACAAAGTAAACTGATCAGGTGAAACCTCCCAAAAATATCAATTTAAAACCCTGGTCAAAAAAGAAGAAAACAACTACTTCAAATTACTGGAAGTCAGCCAAATGTTGGCAAACACCAGGAAAGAGTTTACCCTCCATGGAATTACAACGGGTAAGAACAGCAAACCGTGATCCCTGCAGCTTCAACTGCAGAAAACCAGTGTTAACTTCACGGTCAGCTACATAGCTAGAAATCGGAGGAAAACCCACTGAGGAAGGAATGAGAAGAAATGAGATCTAAAATCTGAATATAAGCTCCAAAGCCCCAGCTGACCATAGAATTAGGTGGGGAGAGGGTGACACCAAGAGGGCACAGAATAAAAAGCAGCATCTGGAGCTGAAAGGGCTGAGCAGAGCTGCCAGGGGCTTCACTCTGGGTGAAAAAAGGAGTGTGAGCAAGTGTTAGAGCAGCGGTAACAAAAACCCTCACAAGACTCTAAGACAAAAATACCTTAATAAATGGAACAGAAATACAATCTTAACCACCTGACCAAGGGCTTCCCTGGTGCCTCAGATGGTAAAGATCTGCCTGCAATGCAGCAGACCCAGGTCTGATCCCTGGGTCAGGAAGACCCCCTGGAGAAGGGAATGCCCACCCAGTCACTCCTCTTGCCTGGGGAACTCCATGGACAGAGGAGCCCGGTGGGTTCGCAGTCAGATGCGACCGAGCGATTAACGCTGACACGATATTAATGAATGAAAAGGCAAGGGATCTTAACAGAAAAAAATTAAAACTACAAAAAGAACCAAATGGAAATTCTAAAGCTGAAAGCACAATAAATGAAAGGGGAAATTCACTAGAAGGGTTGAACAGCAGACTGACAATGGAAGGAAAAACACTAGTGAACTTGAAGAGAGATCAACAGGAATCATTCAATCAAAAGAACACAGAGGAAAAAAAAGTGAAGAAAAAGGAACCTCAGAAACCCATGGGATAGTATCACGCTCCCCAGTGGATGTGTAATGGGAATCCCGAAAGAGAAAAAGCAGAAAAAATGTTGAAGAAATGATGCCCCCCCACCTCAAAAAAAAGAAAGAAAGAAATGATGCCCAAAATACACAAAGAAAGCACAGTAAAGACACTGTTTTAAGGTTAAAAACATTCAAATAAAAGCACTTTCTACACTAAACTGTCCAGAACTCTACATTTAAAATTAAATTTCCCTAGTTTAAGATCAGAAGAGAGACTAAGCCATCAAACATAATTTAAGTCCAGAAAGAAATCTGAAATAAAATTCTAAAATGATTCATATTTTTAAAAAAGTAAACCCTCTGAATTCTACTTTTGATAAAATTTACTTGAACCAATCAGGGGTTATTCATTAAAGAGGAGCATTCTACTGAGTGGGAGAGGGCATGAGAAAGCTTTGTAGGGAGCTGGAAATCATCTGCCTCTTGATCTTGTTGGTGTTTTACATAGGTGTATATATACATAAAGACTTACTAAGATGAACCCTTAAGATTTGAGCACTTCACCATTTGCAAGTTATCTTCTATTAAAGAAGGAAGGAGAAGAATGGAAGGAGAGGGAGGATAAGGGATGCGAGGAAGGCACTAACTTACCTGAAACCTGATCATCTGTTAAGCCAAACGCTGACATGACATTTTTACTGATTTCATCTTGGTTTTTTAAAGGATCAAAAGCTGACATACTTGCTGCCATAACCTGAGTAGACTGTTTACCAGAAGAATCAGCAGCAGCAGGCTTTTCTTCCCTACCATCCACAGTATCTATAAAAGAAATAAGCAAAAACTTGTTTCTATTTTATCTATATTCAATAAGGCCTAAAAAATAATTATAGCGAAATACATATGTGCATAAAGTCTGGAATGGTGAGGGTATCTCTGAGTACAGGAGTATAATTTTCCTTTCTTCTTTGTTCCTATTTATACCTTTTTTTTTTTTTTTGTAAAATAGGGGGCGAGGTCAAAAAGAAATGCAAGATAAGTAATACCTTTTATAAAAAATTATATCTATGTACCTCCCTAAGAATTATCAGATAAGAAAAAAAATACAAGCATCTTTACACAGAGAAATATTTTACCCTTCTTTCTGGAGTCCTATGACATATATCCTAGTATCAGACACATATTGTGCACTAATGCTTTATTTTCTAAAAGGATAAAAAGCTTTTTAACTAAAGTTATAATTATCAACTTTTATGCTTTACTTCTACTTATCTATGGGTACATGGAAACCTCAAGCCAACACATGTTTTAATTTACTATGTCTTTCTTTAAAATACTTACTACAGATAAAAGATGTGTGCCTGAAATTTGCTCAAAACAGCATGGGAGGGGTGGAAATGTGAGTATAGATGGCGTGATACTGTGAGCTGATGACTGGTGAAGCTGCAAGTGTTCATGGGGTTCATTATACTATTATGCCTACCTTTGTACATACTAAAATTTTTCCATAATAAAATATTTTGAAAAGTAGAATTTTAAACATTATGAGCAGGAAAAATTTTAAACCACCCACTTTTCTTCCAAGGATACTAAGGTTCTAATCACACATTTATAAAAAGATTCAAGAATAACATACATTTTATAAATAGAAACTTGTAATATTAAAAAAAATAGTACAAACAAAACAAACTAAACAAGTAAACAAAAAGAAAACTGCTAACCATTTACTGAAGTAACTGATGTTATCAATTCCTTTCTGTTACCAAGCAAGTAAATGAGCATTAGATCATCTCTGTGATCACGACCAAAATTGATCTTGTGAAAAAATGTCATGAACCAAGTGGACTATAAGTACACACGGGCTTGCAGCTCTTTTATTCTTATCATTCCTCTAGTTACAATAGTATCTCCTAAATCTCAGTAGGAAAACTTTTATAAGTACTCCTTTAAAATGTCTGCCAGTCATCCATCTTCCTCACCAACTTCCCTCCTTCAATTCGAAGACCATATCCCAAGAGCATATCACACCAATTTTAGGATTATTTCCCTTCACACTGCTATCTTTCAATACCTATGCATCCTTCCACTTATGGCAAACTAAATTCATCAGGAAACACAATGTATATCCACTAGCCTACTATCTGCTCCAGTAGCTACTGCAGAGATACTTCAACAGGTCAATCCAGTATTGAAGGTGCCCCACACATCATCTGACTCACGGAGGAAAGCAACTGCCCAACAAGTCCACTACAGAAGCAGAGTGCTGAAGGACATGGGTGGCTGCATGTTTTGGGTGAGGGCAAGCCATAGGATTCTACAGAGCTCTCACAGCTGACTGGTAGTAGTTTTTTCTGGTGAACTAGACTTTCTGATGTTTCTGAAAGTTTCTGATGCAGCTTATTTTATGTTTTTGTTTTTTTTCCCCCCTTGAGAAGATTATTAAATCAGAATATGTTCTAACAGCTTAGAAGCTTAGGAAACTTCATAAAAGGAAGGAGGGTCAAGAGTTAAGCAATCTATCTAAGTACAGGAGAGGAATCAAAAAACAAGCTACAACTGTCTATAAAAATAAAACACAGAATGTCATATTCAGTTCATTAGGCAACTCACGACACAATGACTAGAAGGATGGCCACATAAAGAAACAACATATGATTCCCAACATGCAGAGGAGAAACCAATTTTTAACATCTCTTTCATTAACACAGGTGAGAGGTAAACAATAAAACATATGAACGCATGGAAATAAACTCATAAAGAAAAGCAGTATGTAGCAAGAAGTAATGAACAGAAAGGCTGTTTCACCAAAACCAAAGAGCTTGTAAATCTATAGGTAATTTCTACCCAGTACTGGCTCTACTTACTGAATTTTGATCTAAGTTTCATATTCAAGCCCCTAAAATTATATGCAAATGTTATTATATCGACATCTATGATTTCTTCTGGGAAAATGGTCAAGGTTTTGATTTTTGTGTGGAGAGATAGGTCAAGAAAAGGCAATATGCTTTGACCTGAATACAAAGGCTTTATCATAAAGAGGCTGTAAAGATTTCATTATATCTCAGCAAATCTTTTTAATATGTTCTGAAATCTAAAGGTGGAACTAGAAATTACTAATCAATCACCCAATATTTATCAGGTCATCTACCATTAACACAATTCCATATGGCTGGAGAAAGCAGAAAATGATTGAGAAAGGCATCTTTATTTAAACTGTAACTATAAATTAAACTCCAAAATTTAGAGTATTTCGGAATCTAAAGGTTGCAAGAGATTATACAATGTTACTTTCCCACAAAATCATCTTCTATTAAGCCCTTTATAACCAGTAATCCAAAATCTATAAAATACTATTTCACTATATAGACAGTTTTAAACCTGTGAAACTTACACGCAAATACAAAAGTGATTTTTAAAAAGTGTATATTTTTAAAGTGTAACATCTAAGAATATTAAAAGTTGAGAAGGCAAGTTTTTTAAAATCTACTTTCAAGCCATATTTAAATTTCAGTCTACATTTAATATTTGGTCCCCAAACTACTTTCAGTTCCAAATTTGTCATAATATAACATACACAGTATGTCATATTTATTATAACATAAATAGTAGTCATCTAAAAATGGGAAAAAATTTTTTTGCATATTATGAACACTGTGCTTAAGATAAACATTTCAACATTTGAATGTACTAATCTAAAATTACTTTTACTTGAAACTACTTCATATATCACATAAAACTCAAGAAATGATTTCCATTCCTAAGGTTCGTTAATTAACTAGAACACTGAAAAGAGTTCAAGAGTCAAAGGGATTTGAAAACTGACCTATGTCATAACCCAGGAGTCTAAGACTACCTGTAAAACAATCACCCAGACAGCACAATGGGATTAACAATGGGATTCCCAGCCCTGCCCTCCAGGAGGTCTGTGATGAGATCCAGGATTGGTGTAATAAAATCTCCCTGTAATCTTGATGACCAAGGTTCCCCAGGTAGCTCAAACAAGAAAGAATCTGCTTGTAATGTGGGAGACCTGGGTTCGATCCTGGGTTGGGAAGATCCCCTGGAGAAGGGTGTGGCAACCCACTCCAGTGTTCTTGCCTGGAGAACGCCATGGACAGAGGAGGATGCTGGGCTCCAGTCCACGGGGTCACAAAGAGTCAGACACAACTGAGTGACTAACAATACAACAATCTTGATGAACAGCCAGGTTTGGGAAACCAGATATTGAATAACTGAATATTAGCACAGACACAGAAATAAGAGAGGATGACAACAGACATGCCATTTTACTCCTGCTGAAGAATTTTTTTTTAAATCTGCAAAAAGTCATAAGGATAAATCAGAATAAAATGACTTCACGGTCTACCGTTATCAGGAATGCTGGAGGACGGGCCTGGTTCTCCAGGTGGTTCCAAGCTATCCAGTAAGCGATTCACTTTATTTCGAAGTTCTATCAGTTCTCGACGAAGGTATTTCACCTGACTTGATTCAAGGGGTCTTGGTTGGCCATTAACTGGAATAAAAGCATTCATTTTCTTAAACTTAGGAAATATTCCTGAATAAATATATAAGTAGAATTATATGTAACAAGGAAAAATCAAAATAACTTTTTAAAAAGTTGAACTCAAACAAGATACCTGTTGATATCATTCAAATAACTTTTTAAGAAAAAGATTTTCATTGCTAATTTATTTTTGGAAGACGTAAATATTCACCAGTCTTTGCTGATGACCTATGGCTTATGACCTATAAGCCCCACCCAAAAAAAAAAAAATTTCATTAAAAGAATTAAACTAAAGTGAAATAAAGTAAAATTACAGAAGCTTTAATATACTATATTTTAATAGAAATTATGTACCTTCAAAGGCTCATTTTACTTCACACAATTCTTTTATAGCCTTGAAATAATACAATAAATACCTTATTAAAGGTATAATATGACTGTAGGTCTGTTATCCTTCTTGCCTTCTTCTGACCCAATACAAAATTAGCTACCTAAAATAACTGCCCTAAATAAAAAGTAACCTATTTTAAAAACATGCAGAATTTACAAATTCACATCACCACTGTCCGTCAAAGCAGTTACCTTAAAAGAAGCACACAAGCCAGAAAAGTCAGGGATTATTCAATAATCATTGGGCTTTTTTTTTAAAGGGTAATATTACCTCATTTAATTACCCATCTTATCCCAATGACTTTCAGCTAACTTAAAAAAAAAAGGATCCCCCTGGAGAAGGAAATGGCAACCCACTCCAGTATTCTTGCCTAGAAAACCCCACAGATGGAGGAGCCTGGTGGGCTACAGTCCATGGGGTCGCAAAGAGTCAGACACGACTGAGCAACTTCACTTATCTTCAGGTCATGCTTATTCCCAAGCTACATGGTCTGGATATTGGTGCTTTCTGAGCTTTTTATATCTGCTTTTAATTTCATTCTGCTTGTTTCTGTTAGGAGACTGTGAAATCATATGAGTTGCACTGTTGGTTTACACATTAAATTGTAAGGTGCTCCCTGACCCTAGGGATAGTTGAGCTTGCCTGATGAGGACCACCAGATGAGGAAGCAGTTGCCATATGTTAATAATTCTTCTAAAACATTCCAGTTTGAGAATTTTTTAAGGAATTTATCATAAAAGTGAATATCCTGAACTCTAGAATTGATGAAAGGGGTGTTCAGCACATCCTCTGAGGAAATGTCACTGTAAACTGCGTGCAGAGCGAGGGGAGTGGAGAGCGTTTCTCAGTGTGACCCAGGGTGGGGGGCCCGGGGAGGTCTGCAGCTGCAGCAGGATTTCAGTGTACAGGCACTTCATTTGTCTGTTCTTGCCGCTGTTTGTGAATTGTGGAACTCAGCTGAGTCAGGCTGACTGAGGAGGGCAAGAAGAAAGTACTCCTTAAAGTTGGTTTGTCACTGACTGCTGCTTCGCTTCTGTAGAAGTGCCATGACTTGCTTAAAGCGGACCACCTCAGAGTTGCTCTTCCTTTTACCGTCAGTGTTCAGTTCAAGTTCTCTCCAGTCATTAGTCAGCAGTGACTTGCTTCTGAGAGCACACCAAAAACGGGGAATGCATTTACACTGAGATGCTGGCTAACTTTTTGTTTCAAATGATAGGAAAAAGAAACTAATTTCTTTGAAGGGTCACGTATCTGTAGCAATAGGTGGCTCCTGGTGTATAGCTTTCTCCTTTCCCTTTGGATAAAAGAAGCTTCCAAACTTTGCTTATCCCTGTCATACTTCGCTGGAAAAAGATTAAACAAATTTCAATACCATCACATTTTCTTGGGCTCCCCTCCTCATATTTCCCCACTAGAAAACAGCCATTGGGGAAAGTTGGTATATAAGGGATCCAAGTACTTTTCATTTTTAATTTGTGTGCAAAATTTGAAGGTAATGAGTGAAAACGAGTTAGGAAGTGAGGACCTAAACTTGGAGATACAATGGGTGTGATAAGCCTTGAGAAAGCTAAGGCAAAGTCCAGGAAAATTTAAAGCTCTGCTGTTCCTGTTTGGAGCCCATCAAAACTTCTGCCACTTGTGGTCCGGGAACAGAAAAGCATGGTGTTTTTACATTTGGAAGCAATGCTGAATACAGCATCTGAGGTTTATATCATTTCAAACTAGAGAAAACAGTAACCCCAATATCAGTTTGTAACTTTTATCGTTTTCTTTGGCAGAACGCCTGACATCTCAGTACTGTAAAACTGCCCTTTTAAGGGCAAATCATTTTGAGTTACAAGATTCTAGAATTGCGGATAGTACAGAGTATTGGCTGCCTGAGACAAGTTCCTAGGTACAACGTTAAATTTCCCTTGATTCCTTACTGGTTTCCAGACTGGATTAGGTCTCCTTCTGTGGCACGTGATGACTGTCTCAACTCCAGGACCCTGACCAGGATGTGCGGGCTGTATCCGCTCAGGACAGCGTGAACCCCCTGCGGGCAGAGATTACCTGTCTGACCTGTGCCCCAGAGCAGAGGCTCTCAGGACACCTGCTTAGTGCCTGCATCAGAGTCTGACCCAGGGGTCACCTTTGTCACTAGTCTACCTGTTTCAGAGACACTCTGAACTGCTTAGGAATCTGTCTTTTAAAAATCATCATGGGGAATACATAATGTCTGAGTCCATTTATATGAAGTCCTAGAACAGGCAAATCTGGTAGGGAAAAAAAGTGGTGGTCTCTGGGAAGGGGCATGAAGGAAAAAGAATATATTTTGAATAGGGGTGTGGATTATATAGGTGTATGCATTTGCCTAAACTTCTTTAGCAAAAGTACCGTTAATATTTGTGCACTTCATTGTACGGAAATTTTACAACAAAAGAAAAATATTGAACTTTAGTTAATGATATGTATTGCTGAGGAATTTTAGAAGGATTGGTGTAGATGTCTGCAATTCATTTATGAAAATACATCAAAAATGAAGATGGAAAAAAAAAATGAAGATGGATTGATAGGTGGATAGACTTGGATAACTCATATAACAAACTTAGTAAAGTGTTGACAATTGAGCCATGGTAAACATATATTCCCTGTGAAATTCTTCCAACCTTGCTGTATGTTTTGAACATCTCATAATAAAATGTTAAGAAAAGAAAAAAAAAGAAGGATCCTTCTTCCAGCAACAAAGACTGTCACCACTGAGATTATTAATTTTAAAAAAAGTGACACAAAGTTCTGAATGCAACCCTCAAAGTAAGAGCTCAAAACTTAAACTAAACTTTTTTATGCATTTTATATGCTGACAATTTGTATGTGTATGTGTGTGTGTATATCTTACATATTTACAAATTCCTAAGGCATCAAATTAGAAAAGGACATCTACCTGAAAATAAAGGTACAGGGAGATTTTTTGTAGAACGTTTCAAACATCAAAGCAATATAAGCTTTTAAAAGCTAATCCACCAGTATTTTACATACTACCTATATATTTATGAGAAAGTTCAATATAATTTCCCACCTGTATCAATTATTGGCTTTTACTGGGTATTACTGGTTTCTCTTTAATAGCTGAAAAGAAGAAAAGGAGCTCCTGAAAGCTAAGAACTGGCCCTGTAGTGTAAGACGGGCTTTTGTGTTGCTCTAAGCTGGCATGGTATTCACAAGTAGGTTGTTGGACATAAACAATTTCAGAACACACCAACAGTGTATCAACTGCATCTCAATAAATTCTTTTTTTAAAAGCAAGACTGCAGCCATGAAATTAAAAGATGCTTACTCCTTGGAAGGAAAGTTATGACCAACCTAGACAGCATATTAAAAAGCAGAGACATTACTTTGCCAACAAAGGTCCGTCTCGTCAAGGCTATGGTTTTTCCAGTAGTCATGTATGGATGTGAGAGTTGGACTATAAAGAAAGCTGAGAGCAGAAGAATTAATGCTTTTGAACTGTGATGTTGGAGAAGACACTTGAGAGTCCCTTGGACTGCAAGGAGATCCAACCAGTCCATCCTAAATGAAATCAGTCCTGGGTGTTTATTGGAAGGACTGATGTTGAAGCTGAAATTCCAATACTTTGGCCACCTGGTGCAAAGGGCTAACTCATTTGAAAAGACCCTGATGCTGGCAAAGATTGAGGGCAGGAGGAGAAGGGGACAACAGAGGATGAGATCGTTGGATGGCATCACTGACTCAATGGACATGGGTTTGGGTGGACTCTGGGAGTTGGTGATGGACAGGGAGGCCTGGTGTGCTGGGTTCGTGGGGTCGCAAAGAGTCTGACATGACTGAGCAAGTGAACTGAAAGACCACCACCAACTATCATTAAAGATCACTTTGGGACTGATGTAGCTCAAAACAAAAAAGAAAGCCAGTCCATAATCATGTGAAATCTCAGACATAAAAACATGGACCAGGCAACAAAAATGACCAAACATCCCTGGCTAATTATGAGTGACACTATTCTACCAATTGCAAGCTTTAGCCTCAGTTCACACCCCAGATCTTCTGGATAAGATTTAGTAAGATAAATCATAGGACTACTACCTAATAGGGAAATCATAAATCATGGGATTACTACCTAATCATAGGACTACCCCCACTTCCTGACAACAGCCAATCTACAGCAAAGCCCCATTCCTTCAGCCTTGTGCAAAACCATCCAACACAAGCTCCAGCCCTATGAAAAATCCTTTCTAACACATTTTTACTGACATCCTGCTGTTCTCCAAGGCGCTCATTCTCCTTCACAGCAATGTATTAATATTTGAGGTTAAACTCCCTTTCATTCCTAATATTGCTTCCCTGTGCCTTTTGTTAAAAAAAAAGTAAACTTAATAGAGGTTTGCTAGTTATATATTTTCAAAATTGCTGATCCTATCAATTCCCCCAACTTCTAGTTCATTTCTGCTTTTTATGATTTTCTTTTTTCTAAGCCATCTGGACTTACACTATCCTTTTTGTATTTAGCTTTAGCATACTCTAAAAATTTTGCCATGTAAAAATCATCACTAATTAGAAATCTAATTCCTAATATGACTTCTTATTCTGTTACTTAAAAGCATACTTTTATCCGCAAAAATATGGGAGTTTGGGTTATCTTTTTTGCCCAACAGTTTCTAATGAAACCAGAGAAAATGATCTTTAACATATTCCTTATCTGATATTTACTGAGACTCACTGGAAAACCTAGTAGATGGTCAACTTTTATAAATGTCCAAATGCACTAAAGCAAAACTGAATTCTGTCCTGATTGCTAGAGGCACACGATCAAGCCTGTATCTGTTTTGCTTTAATTTTGAGGCTGCTTGATCTATCAGTTTTGAAGAGAAGAGTATTAACAGTTCTTATGATTGCAAATTTTTTCTTTTTCTGTCAATTTTTCCTTGAAGAAAAAGCTAAGGCTATGATGTATAAATGTTCTGAATTGTTACATCTTCCCAGAGGATTATTTTTTATCACAATGAAGTGACTATTACTAATAAAATTTTCACTTAATAAGTAGTCAATTCTGTTAATATTACTAACTTGCTTTGAGTTTGTTTTGTTTACAAACTTATCTAGCCTTTTACTTTCAAACTCTGCACAATAATCTTCTGGTATCTCTCTTATGATCAGCATGTAACAAAATTCTGTTTAACCAATACAAGAGTCTGTCTTTTAACTCTGTTTGTTTAGTCTGTTTATGTGTACTGTGGCTAGTATTTTGTGCTACTTTCTATTTATTAAGTTTTCTATTTCTTTTCCTCCTTCCGCACCATTCAACTAACCAAATACCCTTTGTTTCCTTCTTTTCCCTTTACTGGCTATTTCCAGACTTTCAATAATCACGCTTACATTTTAGAAATGCATACTTCAATTTAAAAAACCTAAGTTAATTACTATCCTCCTCCCAAATAATCCAAGTCTTTACAATATTTTAATTCCTATCATCCTCTCCATTCTTACATATAATTATTTCTCAGAATTTTGTCCCATCTTGTTTCTATATTTCTAAAGCTATTCTTTTAAAATAATCAGTGCTCATTTAAATTTACACATGCCAACCAGTTTATTTGCTCACAACTTCTTGCATCTTTCACCATTTTTCTGGACTCAATTTCATTCTTGCTGACTAACCATTTAAAAAAATTCTTTTAACAAGGATCCAAGACTGTTAAATCCTTAGTCAATGTTTGAAAATGATTTTATTTCTCCTTATTCCTTAAGTTTAACAGACCAAAGAATACTACTTTTCAATCCATCTTTTTCTGAAGAGTGTAAGATGTTATTCCACTGTCATCGATTTTCTATTAGCATTAATATGAAGAAGTCTATTAGCAGTCTGATAAATTTGTGGGTGATGTCTAATTCACACAGACTACTTTGAAAATTATCTGTCTTATATGTTCTCCAGTTTCACGACAATACATCCAATGGAGGTTTGTTTTTACTTACCCTGCCCAGGGTCCTGTGCCTCCTATAACTAAAGGTATCTATAATGTATATAATTCTGAAATTTTTCTTTACTCATTTCTTCCTCATATATTTCCACTCCCCTAATCTCTCCGTGTTTAGAGTCTTAATGGAAACAGGCTGCTGCTAAGTCGCTCCAGTCGTGTCCGACTCTGTGCGACCCCACAGACGGTAGCCCACCAAGCTCCTCTGTCCCTGGGATTCTGCAGCCAAGAATACTGGAGTGGGTTGCCATTTCCTTCTCCAATGCATGCATGCACGCGAAGTCACTTCAGTCATGACTCCGTGTGACCCTATGGACAGCAACCCACCAGGCTCCTCCATCCACAGCATTCTCTAGGCAAGAATACTGGAGTGGGTTGCCATTTCCTTCCCCAGGAAATAGGCTAGACTTTCTCAAATCCTCTCTCATTATTCTCCAACCCTGTGCTTTTGTGCTCTATTCTCTCATTTCTTTAGACTACCTTCCAGTTTACTAAATCCCTCATCAGCTCTGACTTATCTGTTGCTCTCTCCATTTAGTATTTAATGTCAATGATTATATTTTTCATTTCCAGAAGTTATCTTAAGTTCTTTTCTAAGGGATTTGTTTTTTGACAAACAGTTGATTTACAGTGTTAAGTTTCAGGTGTGCAGCAAAATGATTCAGTTATACGTACACATATATATGTATATATGTGTGTGTGTGTATTCTTTTTTCAGATTATTTTCCATTATAGGTTATTACAAGATATTGAATATAATTCCCTGTACTATACAACAGATTCTGTTTATCTACCTTGAGTTTTTTTTAATGTTTTTCCATAATGCCTAGTTCTGATATTATTTCTTCTTTTATGTCTAATAACAATACATATTTTATTAACACTTCTACTAAGTTCTTAGAAATCTAATCCTACTATTAGTTGTACCCACTGTTTCTTGTTCACGTGGATGCTTCATGTGTCCTGCAGTTTTGAACTCTAAGTTCATCCACAGGATTTTATCTGTAGAAGCCTATGTTATTTGGATTGAGAACATATACGCTCCAGAGATTTCTGCCTTTGTTTCTTGCACTTTTCATGGTAGTATCTGGGTGTGGGAGTTCCCAAAGGATCATGGTTATACATCCAAGAGAGCCTTCACAAACTTCTGATAGCTCAGGATAGATGAGAGTTTCCTTATCAGTTTCTTGACTTTTTCTCTACCAATGAAGAGAGATTTTTCTTCTACAATCTGCTTTTTGACAGTAAAGTCACTGAGGATCTAGGACCATGTAGACCCCAAGTGACAAGTCCTTAGATCACGCAGACTAAAACCTTCAGCATCACCACCAACAGCACCCCAGGCCTCAGCTTTTGGTGCTCCAGGCCCTGGTTTTTCATTTCGATTATATTTTGGTCCCTGACATCTTCCTTACATTCCTGAGCAAGCTTAGCTGTGTAATTCAAAAAATACATTCAGTATTGTTTATCCAGTACATTCTCAGTGTTTCTGAGATGAAGACTTTCAGTTTGCCTAATGCCTGGTAGCTGGCCGATAACGGTTAGGTATTTTAAGACTCAATATTGTAAAGAGATACCTTTTATTTAAAAAAAAAAATGTAGTAATTTTTGTTACTAGCATTTTAAAGTGATTCATATTTACCCTTCTTAGATGGAGATGAAACAAATACAAATTAAATCAACTGGCCATTGATCCTATTTCATGGAACTGTGTGAGTCAGTGCTACATAATTTTTAAAAATGCTAACCAACAAATTCAGGAAAAAAGTCCACATTTTTTTTCACATAACCATGCTACTACTTTAACTTTGCAATCATTTCTATCTTTTCCCTTAAGTGTTCTGCCTTGCAAATGTCATGATCTGTAAGAAAACAAAATCTATTAAGATTAAATTTAGTCTTATGTTTTAGTTCTGAGAACTACCTCAGATCTTGAAATACTCCTTAAAAAACAATGTTTAAAAAAGGTATCAGTTCAGTCACTTAGTCGTGTCCAACTCTTTGTGACCCCATGGACTGCAGCACACCAAGTCTCCCTGTCCATCTCACCAACTCCTGGAGCTTGCTCAAACTCATGTAGGTATCAGTCCTATACATTAAACCCTGAGAATAAGTAAAAACATACTACATTAGAAAACAATTATATATTCTTAAAGAATTAAACTAAATTGCAGTTTTAACCCTGAAATTATTTTCAATCCTGGAAACACTTATACAAGTGGCATACATTACTATTTAGGGTAACAGCAGATGGGTTATTTAAAATATGTCTACTTTCTATTAATCTTCAAAGAATATAGTTAAGCCTTAAAATTTAAAAATTCTGATATAGCAGAAAAAACTATCACTTAATTTTGAATCTTTAAAAGGAAAAAAGCTAAAAAGTATTTCATAAAAATACAAAGAAGAGTAAATATATTAGTTTAGCACTTACCAAATAATGTCAGTTTCAGTATCCTACTACACTGAATTGCAAAGGAAAGGTCAGAACTATCAAAAATTGTTATAAGATCTCCATCTGAAACAAATAAAAATTTCAGATTTGCATCAGTACTAAGCTAGGATATATATCCATTAAAATGCAAAATGTGGATTACAGAGCATAGAAAATCTTCCATAAAACCTTTAAGCATCAAGGATCTAGGGAAGACGTATTTATCCAAAAGGATACTAAATAAATTTTATTTCTTTCGTGGCAAGATATTTACATTATTCTTAAAGAGCCAACACATAGCTAAGATTAATGTAATTTTTACTAATCACCTGGAGGAAATAACAGTTTAGAATGAAATCTTTTCTAAGATACTTAAATATATTTATCAGAAATCAAGATAATAGTAATTCTCAAGGTTCAAATTTTAATTCTAAGCACAGTAAAACACCACTGGCACAAACGGAGGGGAAGCCATATGTAACAGTAACTAAAAAGGTTGCAAACTTTTTTCCTGCAAAATTGTTCTAATAAATGGGTAGACAGTTGAGTCTTTCAGGTCCCCAGTCATCTCAACACTAAGATGAAAACCATCAATTCTCCTCCGGAAAAATACTCATGTACACAAATTTCTGAAATCCCCTAGATCCCAAGGATAAAGAATACTATAATCAGCGTATCAACTGCCTGCTCAAAAGCTTTCAAAGGACCAGGGAATAAAAGGTTAGGGAGAGAAGAGAAGAGAACCATCGCCAGACGTCGTCAGACACAGCTCGGGGAGCGGGGCTGCCGCAGGGGGGCTGAGAGGCTGCCCCAGCCGTGCTCTGCACGCCAGTCTTAACACTGATTAGGCCGGTTGCTTTGGATAAAGCTGGCAATTAAAGCCGTAACTGAGAGTTTTATCATCTCTCTACAGCAGACCAGTGTCGTTGTTTTTTTAAAACACACATATCTAACGCTCACCTTTAGGGATTCTACTCATAAACATATTTTTAAGTACATATGTAAAAGAAGTAAATTTTCTATAACTGGTTTTTTCTTTTCTGATCTCCCCAACAGAAAGAGTATCTATGACATCAGGAACTCTTTACCTAAGTCAGCTCTCCAAACTAGTGCCCAAAATCCAGTCTATGGAACACAAATCTGTATCATTTAAAAAAGCTCTCAAAAACACGATAAAAAATAAATTAAATGTGATAACCAGATGTAGAAGACAGTTTCAATAACGAGGACACCCTAAGCTAGGGAGTCACAAACTACAATCAATGGATAAATTCTGGCTTAAAGAATTCAAACTAAGGATAGTTTTTATAATTTTAAAAGGTTCTAGAAAAAAGATTAGCAAAGCCTTGTAGGACCCACAATTCTAAACTACTATGTGATCCTTTAAAGAAGGAGTTGGCTGACCCTTCCATAAACAAAGATGAGTTAAGAGAAAGGCAGTACAACATTAAAGGCGGTTTAAGATATGCCAGCTCTGAGGTAAGAGCAAATCATCTCAGGTAAGACCATTAAAAACTTGAGTTGTAAAGTCAAACAAACAAAAAAAGAACAAATGGATCACATTTACGCACACATTTGGAAGTCAAACGGGATAATCAATGTATTGTAAAGAGATGAGGTTACTAGGGAAGAGAATAGGAAGAAAACTCTCTCCTTTTTTGTTCCTTAACATGGATGACCCTCAAAATTTAGTTTTGGGTAACATTAGATGAAGGGGCTTCCCCTGTGACTCAGCTGGTAAAGAATCTGCCTGTCAATGCAGGAGACACAAGAGATGTGAGTTCGATCCCTGGGTCAGGAAGATCCCCTGGAGGAGGGCGTAACTATCCACTCCAGTATTCTTACCTGGAGAATCCCATAAACAGAGGAGCCTGCAGGCTACAGTCCATGGGGTTCTGTAGAGTGGGACACGACTGAGCGCCTAACACTTTCACTTTTCAACATTATATGAAATATTGAAAAAATGAAAGGCATATTATACCTATAGTGAAATAATTGGCTTAGTTGGCCATCAGTGATTTATACTACCCTTCCAAAGGGTAAGTTGTTGGAAAGTGGCTATCCAACCAGGGACAGTTCCCACCCAACCCACTAACATCTCAGCACAGTCATGTGACTGGGGTCTGGTCAATGTGATGTGAGCTGAAATGACACACACCACCTCCAGGCCTAGAGAGTACAATCTCCCACGTAATGCTCTACACTCCGTCTGCATGCATCTGCTTGCTAAATGCCGATGCTCGAGGTGAGCCTGTAAGCCATGTATTGAAGATATCAGAGCTTCTGTCAACCTGGGCCCCCGAATGATTTCTTGAGTGTTAAACCACTGAGATTTTAAGATTTTTATGCTAACAGCTGACATTCCTTTAAACCGACACACAGAGAGAAATAAAGAAGCTATTAGGGATAGCTTCTGAGACTATCCCTGAGAAAGCACAGCCTCAGAGAAATAAGAGCATTTATAAAACGATGCTGTGGATAGCAGTGCCAAGTGCTGAGATCAAGATGAAACAGACTGGAAATAAATTCAGCAGTAATAAAGATACCAGTAACCACCTAAAGCCCAATTTCACTAGAGATGTTAACAAAGATGACAGGTTAAAATAAAAAGAAATAAAGAGAGTCTACTGAGGCAGGTGTGAAACCCTGCGGTTCGAACAGCAGAGAACAAACTGTAAATGCAGGAATAATGATTCTGATTGTATTTCCATTATCAAGACCACTTGTTTTAAGAGATTCTGCCTTGATTACAGAAATAATAAACAAATACTTTATGTTTCCAAAAAAAAGAAAGATAGTCTACTAATATAATTCCACTATGTCGTTGATGATGTATTTGTCTGGTAAAATCCATCTCCATAAAAAGTTTTGTAGTCAAATCAGCCTAGGAACACTGCATAAACTGAGAAAGTACATCAGCATACTATGTGCTCTGAAAACTCCTGCAAAAAAAACCAGCTTTTCCATACTTAGCTGACCACGAAGCCTTTCTCATTCAAAATGTACTAACATCCCTTTCACTTTGGGAAATATGAGTGAAAGTTTGGTTTTAAAGCAAAAAGGAAGCCAGAATTGTACAGGCATAAAAGAAAAACAGATGGCTTGTAAAAATGTGCAACAGTATCCTAATGTATCCCCTTCTAATAGCATCCCCTTCTAATAATAAATCATTTGGCAAATTTTTAACTTTTAAGTATAACTAAATACAAAGGCATTCCCTTAAATAAAAGAAAGTGGTACTCAATTACCATAGGAGGAAACAGAATTTTTATTCGGAGTTCAATGAAAAATGGGCAAAAGAACACATATAATACTTAAGACTTTTAAAAACTTGAGAAACACTCTTACCTTCATCTTTATATTTTATTGTAACTTCATCATTACTCAGAAGTTTTCCTCTGAAGACTCGCTGCATCATTAGCACTAATTCATCATAAGTAATATCTTCATTATGAATGGGAATTCGTCGAATATCCTCCCCAAGTTGCGCTTTGATGATTAGCTTCCCACTCAGATCCAACTGCCCATTCATGGTGGACTCCAGGATGTTCTATATATGGAACTCTAGAGAAAGACTGACAAAATGGTCTTGATGATTAAATAGCTATAAAACATATTTTAAAAGCTAAAAGGCAAAGCTACTACTAAAATCTAAGAAATTTTCAGTTTCAAAGGAAATTCACTGTTCCCATGTTGCCATATTTATGGTAAAATGGTCTGGAACTGGTTTTATTATGTGCATAAGAAAATAAGTTTTATTATTTTATGTCTGTTATTATTTTACCCATATAGTTAACTGCTCATCTGATTCAGATTTCTTACTTAACATGTCTAGAACAAAATCCTGATCTTCCCCTCAAAATGTGCTTCTCTTGTTTTCTCCATCTCTATTAATGACAATTCTCCTAAGATATTCAAGATAAACAAAAAAAAAAAAACCTTAGTTCCTCTCTTTCTCGCACACCTCACATATACCAAATTGCCAATGAATCTAGCTGCCACAACTTTCAACCCTTCACCTCTATCATTAATCCAAGCCACCATCATCTCTTGCCTGGATTACTGCAAAAGACTCCTAACTGGTCTGTCATCCTTTTACCTTTGCTTAACAAAGGTACCCTCAACACATCAGAGTTATCCTGTTAAATAAAATCTAGTGCAACTACTTTAAAGTTACTCTGTCTTCCAACAGAGTCTCATCTCACTCTTGCTAAAAGCCAGAACTAAAGGTTATGATCTGATTTAACCCCACTTCCCACCTCTCCCCCTGGCCACTCTGCTCCACTCAGACTACATCTCCTTCTCAAGACTTGGCACTTGCTACTTTCTTAACCTTGAGCCCTTTTCACACCCTCACATGACTGAGATCTCTGATCAAATGTTAACCTCTCAGAGGTTTATCCTGGCCATCTAATTTAAAATGGCTTTACTGTCACTTTCTTATTCAGCTTCATTTTCTGCAAAGCGCTAATCACTACCAAACATTAAAAAAGTATTTATTTTTATTCTTTTCCACTAGAAAATAGGGAAATAAATGGTTTTGTTCACTGTTATTTCTGGAGCCTAGAACAGTGCCTAGCACAGTTAATTATTCTACAGTCATTAAAGGAAGGACAATCATTAAATACTAGCTTCCAAACCCTCCTAGCCTGTGTATATTAAATGCTAACCCTGAAGAGGAAAGTATGTGTGAACACTAAAATAGTCTGAAACTTTTCTTGCTAAAATAAGGCAGACCTCATGAGCATTTTCTCCAATTTTCCAAATTTCACAACTTGAGGACATCCTCCTGAGCTTTCTAACAAGACTGTCCACTATTGTTTCTCCATCTTCCGTAACGCTCCCATCCCGAAACCTGAGTATATGTGATTAGACAGCACCCTTAAAAATAAGACAGTGTCAGAGAACTAAATACTAACTTGCTATTGAATTCTGCCTTCTTGGGTCTTATTTTAATCTTAGGTTATTCAGCATGCTTCTCCTATAATGACTTTGCAATCCTAAATTCAAAATAATGCCTGCGGTCTCTAGTCATTTAATACCATTATCGTATATGATAATGCCATTATAATAACAGAATATACACTTTCGCTTAATTAACATGTTAATATCTCTTCTTCTCAAGGCCTATCTCTTCTTTCCAAGACCAAGATGTTCATGAACACATTATTTGTAACCACAGAACATTTCCTACTGGTCACATTCTGGTTTCAAAACTATGCTTCTCTACTAGCAGCATTCTGCTTTCTTCTCTTAAATGTGTTATTTTATTAACATATTTAGTTTTCCTAGTTCTCTACATCTGCTCCTTTATGTGTGTGTCAAAGCACTCAACCTGTCCCCCAACACACCAACACTTCAAATATTTGAAGAAAGTTTTCATGAATCCTAATTCATTTAATCAATAGTATACATAAATGCCCTAGCATCCTCATATAAATGCCACCTATCCTTCCAATCAAATACTTATCAAATACTTGTCTCTAGACTCCCTTGCCACCCTCTGAACAAATTAATTTTATGAATGAATCTTTAATGCCCATCTTAAAATGGTGCATTAAATACAGAATCTAACACTCTAAGATCAGTTAAGAACAGAGTGGACTATGTTCTACCATCCAGATGCTACGCTTGTCTTAACATAAAAAGAGAATACAGTCAGTGTTTCATCTGCCAATTCTGACAATGGACTTTTCCTGAAGACTCTGATTACCTGAAACCTCCATACAACCCCTTCACCTGTGAGCCAAACCAGCCCTCTTCATTTGGCAAACACTTAAATACCTGCTGAGTGCCAAGTTCCGAATATAATTACTTCAGTAAATGGTTAAGATTTCACTTTGTTTGCCTTGCAGCCTGAGAGTACTAAAGAATTTCAGCAAATCAATCTATGTAATCTCTTCCCTACAGGATATGTAAACCATCAATAATGTAGTTGAAGGACCAGGGCTTAGCTTCAGCAGGATAGTTCTACCTATTCTCAGTAGCTTCTAGAATACCGCCTGACATACAGTAAGTAAAGATTTTTAATACTTTTTGTTCCCTAAACAAAACATGAATGACAAGTGATAAAGTTCTGATAAAGAGATCAAAAGAAGGCAGGACTATCAGGTCAGTTCCTAAGTCAAGCCCTCACACTAGCTAGAGGTGACTCCCTACAACTGACATAACCCTAATTAGAGACATTTTCAACAATGAATATAATTGATATAATCCTTTTGATCATAAAGGAATTATTGCCCAGTTCCAATGAATCTGAAAATACGAGCCTCTTTTTAAATACTTGACACCTGCCATGTTTGCCTGCAAATTCACCTACTGGCTAGTGCTTCCCCTAGACTGTAAACTACCTGTGGCCAGGAACCAGCTCTTTCCTAAGGCTGTCTCCATTTTGTACAGTCATCTCCATAAGGCATGGTATAAAACAAGTTATCACAAAAACAAAAGCACCAGGAAACTCTCCCTTCCAGGGAAAATCCTATCCCCCTATTTTTTATATAACCATAGAATCCAGATTCTCTTTTTCTCTAGCCTCAATCACAAAGTAGAGACTCCTATGAACTACTAGTTCCCAGGGCTGCTGGTGACATCCTCACAGCTTTTTCTGCTCCCCATTTCTCCTTTCATGGTGTCTTTGCCCTACTCCCTCTGAAGTACAGAAATGACTCGGCCACTAACTTATGAAATCTTCCAACAGGAACACTGTTCTCAGAACTGGAGAGTAAAGTGACATGCCCAAGGAAACATATAAAAAGCCTGCCTCTTTGAACCAGGATCCAGGTTCAGGGACCAAACCTCCACCAGCCCTGTGGTGAGGGCCCGGTTCAGTGAATTTGCTTAGGCAACTCCAGAGGGTAGAAATTTCCTTTAAGAAATCCTAAGCAAAACCAACCCTCAAGTACTCCAAAGAATGCAAGGGACCTCGAATCCTCCCTGACCAGGGCCAGCGTTGATGGTAAAGATTTCTCCCACTAGCCATGTGACCTCAGGCAAATACTTCTCCAAATCTCACTATCGCCAACAGCAAAATGGCAATATCTAAATTTGGAAGAACCCTTGTGACGATTAAATGAGACTGTGAATCTAAACTACTAAGTACATTGCCTGGCAAAGTAAACTCTTGAAAAGTTAGTTGTCATTACCACTACTAGACTGGGTTTGGCCTCCAGACGGCGCCTGATGAAGCACTAACACAGTCAAGGAACAAGGCTTCCCCAGGTGACCCCCAATCAACTAATTCCCATAGGCGCCATTCTCCCCACTTCTCACCCTTCCAAGCCCCTCTGAGAATTAGGCACTGGACCACCCTAGATCTCCAAAAGTCCCTCCCCGCTCCCTCCGGCTGTCCCAATCCTTGGAGCCAGGCGGGATCGACACAAGTGCCCTTGCTGGCTCAAACACGTCCTAAAGCCCCCCACAGGTCCGCGTCGTTGCCACGGTGGCCAGGGGCACCCCCCACGCCTCCCCTCCCCCGCCGTGGCCTCTCCTCGAGGCGAGGCCCGGCCCAGCCTCAGTCCTCGGCCTCCAGGGCCTTCCCACGACCCCTCCGACCCCACCCGCCCCGCGCTCGCCAGTTCGAACGAGGCCATCGCAGCGTTTCCACGTCTCTCGGCCCGCCTGGCAGCGCCCCCGTCTCCAGCGGCCATACCGTTTTCCGGAGGCCGCCACTGCCGCCCCTCCGCGGGTCTCCGCTGATCAGACCCGTGCGAGGCCGCCACCGTCGGGCTCTGGGGCGTTGGGGGAAGGCTGCGGTCACAGCCCACTCGGTTGCCCTCCGGGGCCGCCGCACCTCGCTGGCAGACTCGCGCGGGCCCCGGCCAATCCCACGGACCCACCAAGCCTAGCGAGAGCTCGGGCCCAGTACGTGGCAGGTGGGGAGCGAAGAGGGGCGGGAATAAGAAGAAAATCAGTCCTTTCGCTCCGCCTCCGAGCGCGCGAACCGACCCAGGACGCATGCGCAAAGTCGGTAGGGCGGGGACTAACGACGCCGGGGTCTGCAGGGGTCTGAGTCTCTGCTTTCTCATTGGGTGACTGGATAAGTATAGGAAGTGCACGCAGAACGGATGCACGCATGCGCGGGGCGTGACAAGGCACTTCCGGTTTTCCTGAACAGTAGTATTTCCCGTTTCTCGCCCGTGGGCGGGACGTAATTTGGTCTTCTGGACTCTGAGAGCCAAGAGTAGGCGTTTGTCCAAGTTTGTGTTTTTTTGTTGTTTTGTAGCCATTGTAGTTCTTCTAGTCCTATCTCGAAAAAACTAACCTTTTCCCCGCCTTCCTTCTACAAACTCATTCATTCATTATTGGGCGCCCACGCTTTGTCAAGCGCTGTGCGGGGAATGGGAATGAGAATGAATCAGTTTGTGAACAAGGAGTTCCCAACAGCGTTTACGAGACAGGACAGATTTTATGGGTGTGTAAAAGGTAAAGGCTAGGAAATTAAGACTGATTAAGGATCCCAGAGCCATTTTGGAAATAAGATATTTGAGCGTGCCTTACATACTCTTTCCATTTATCTAAAGCATTTTATTTATT